AACAGGATGCCAGCAAAGCAGCTTCAGCCTGGCTAAGTTACATTCCTGACTCAAATGTAACCAAAGGACCAAGATTTTTGCAAATGTAATTTTAAACATATGGTCGTCGTGACTGCTGAAATGCCTTTATTATCCTTTTATCTACGCCTGATTAGCTACATCTTATCATGTAAGGATGCCATATAATTGCAATCTCAGAACAATATTACAATAAAAATACAATGGTATATAATATATAACTACAGTTACGGTATATTACAATATTATTTCGTCCCCTACGTGTAAAGTCAACTGGAGCAGATCCAGATAACCCTTGAACGACTGATGCTTTTGGCGGTCTACCTTTGAAATTTTAACAGTCCCATCTCAAGTCCAACGTTTATGAACCGTCAGGTAAGTACGGTATCAGCCGGAGAACTTACCGACCACTGGATGACAAGATTGTTCGCCTGCGTGCCGTAGACAAATAGTTCTCGAGGATTGGACGCCGGTGCTGTGGGTGGAATCATGCACGTTCCGGTGGTCGCTACACTCGGCTCGGAGAGACCCACTCTGTTTCGAGTTCGCACTCGGAATCGATAATCGATATTGGGTCGAAGGATAACCTGAGGACAACATGAGTGAGAAAAGTGAAAGAAACGCAGGGAAGTTTGGCTCTCTGTGCACTTTACATCATGGAGATTATGCCGTTGAGGGATTTTCATCGCAAAATATAGCGCGAACCAAGAACAGCCATACCAAGTCTGTATTGGTTACTGTGAACTGTTGATCTTTTTCCTAATTGGGATTAGTTATGCAGTACTGTAGTAAGGTTTGTACAATTTTCCCTATTTTTAACTGGAAGAAATTTCTTTGGAGATGTTACGCCCACCCATCGTCTGTCGTTTATGTTCATAGCAACTGAGGATTTTAGCTACCCATAATATCCACCGTGCTTTATAGAATTATGAGCGCAAGGGCGGTGACTTGTACGTGAATTAGTTCACATTAATGGTAGACTTGACTCCTAATCGGGCCGCGAAGTAGATGCGCTGGACAAACATTGTGGTTAGATCAGAGCACGATAGACACTATTTGGGTTGCTCTCCCATAAAAAGTGTCGAACATAGAGGTGTTAGTGGCACGCGCAGACACAGGCTCACAACGCACCAGTCACCTCTAGCCTTTATGAAATTCTCATTCCGTTGGACGGCTCCGGCCGAGCCTGCTGCCCGCACAAGATCTCCTCTCCGGTCTTCTTGACTCTGTCTTCACACTAGGCACAGGCGGGCAAGGGAAATGAGAGTGCGGTAGATAGAGAACAAGTCTACTATCTCTTAAAACTAATCCACGTCAATTTCCTTGCAGTACCACACTGCGGAGTACACGGTGGACCTCGTCAGACTCAAAGGTTCAACCTACTGATGATAGATATTGCGCGGCATCTACACACCCTCGCCCCCCTGACTTATCTGAGCCTACTGTAATGATAGAGTCTGGATCTGGCACAGCGACGGATAAGACTAAGCAGTCCGTATATGCGGGCCACAAACGCCTAGAGCAAACAAAGTTGACCACGAAAATAAAATAACGTCGTACCAGAGCTTAGTTGAGAACACCTATCCTTCCTGGGTGCCGAACTCGGAAAGCATCCCCGATGTATGGAATGGATAAACTCAGAAAATTAATATTTTGTAAAGGCTTTTTCAAAGTTTTACTAGTCAAACTTAAGAAGTAAAACAGCACAAAACAGCAGAATTTAACTAATCATCCTACACCAGACATTTTTTCATGCTTTTTCAACCCTGACTAATCCAGGCTAGCAACTAGAGCCTCCTCAGTCGACCCGGAAAAAAACATAAAAAGCAGGGTGTAACTGCGGACCTTGGCATCGGCTGCATGCAGAAGACCGGTGGCATTAAAGAGTTCTGCCCGGTACCAGGTTTGCCGCTCAAACTGCGTGGAGAATTCCACAATGTATTCAATGATGGGAGCGTAGTTGTCCGAGCCGGGAGCCCAGTTGACAAGGGCTTGCCGCTTGTCGGCGAAGTTGATGCAATCAATTGTTATCCCGCGTGGCTGATTTGGACGCCCTAGCAAATAAAGGAAGAAGAGGTCAATTCCTGAACACCTGAACAGATGCTAGGGAGTTGAAATTGCGACAATCAGAGCGGACTTCGTGGAACGTTATGCCCCTTCAGGTTTTCATCCGTCGAAATCGGCAAAAAATCGCCACTGTATGTTTTGCGTATGATTTTGTTTATTGACTTACGTAGCGCATACTTCATCCTTTCATCCCACACCTACTGCATTAAAAACGACAACGCACACTCAAGGCAAATGGAGATGGGCGTGAGCGGAGAGCCTCGTCTACGCGCACTAGGCACGGACTGACCATTCACTCCACGCGAATCAGGCATCAGTGCCTAAATGGAATTTAACCTTGCTGCGATCGAGTCGTCTTCTTCTCAATTACTTCCTGGGACTCGGATGTTCGCTTGTATTGGCAACCTTGCTTGTAGTTGCCATAGAAAGCGATCTTGACGCAGTCCTCTGTCTCAAAGACTGATTTCTCTTGACAGTTGATAAACTTCCCAGCCACGGTTCCGGGGGAACTGTAACAGCTCAGATACGCATCAACGTTGGTCATTGTAGGGAAGGGCCGTCGTGAGCCAGCTGCATTGTCTCTTCTCTCTCCAACCAAGTCGAAGGTGCACGCTGGCGTTTTGAACGCCACCAGCGACGACGTGCACCGGGTGCTTCACAGACTGGACACAGCGTCAGCAACAGACTTGCACAGAATCTACCGCACCCCCTCTTCCCTCACCCAACTTGCTCCAGTGATAGAATAGCGTTAAAAAGAGCTGGGAGTGGGCTCCAGTGCAGTGGCCGAAGAGGCTAAACATCCCGTCTACGTGTGTCAGATATGACTTGGTCCTACAACACGTACCAAACTACTGTAAGAACGACCGGGATCCCACGGGAATGAGACTTTCCTATAGGCGACCCCGAGAGGCAGTTACTATCTGTTAGAAGGATGAATTATCCCACCCGTTAGCAATCATCCAATCCACGGCTCTTATTCTGTCAATGTAGATTTGAGTACATCAATTCGACTATAGTGAACACTGCGCCGATTTCCTGCAAGGATGGATTCTCCAGCGTCGACCCAACGTTCTCCTTCCTATTCGAGCCTGCAAAGCAGCTTTGTGGGACAAGGGCGCTGCGGCTAACGCGACGTAAAGGACTGTGTCTAGGCATGCTAACACCTCCCTCCCCATGTACTACAGAGCACTATGAACACTGAACACTCGTTATAAAGTGGCGGATGCCGAATTCCTATGGGTAGCCTACTTTCCACCACGAAGTCATCTTGCCGCCGTTCACGGAAAAAGAAGCATTGGTCCCCACCGGAGAGGATGGTAATTCTCCTATTAGGTAAGTTATCTCATCATCTGCGTGGATCTTTTTGATGAAACCTCATCTTTTCTCGCCCACATTGTTGATTCCGGACATCGTGTGGACCCCAACGAAGCCTTCAAG